ATAATTGTCTTTTAAATATACGTAAAATAAAACTACAGAATAAAATATAAAATTTTAAATACCCAGCTTTCTTCTCTCTCTACACCTTTTTTGTCTGAAAAGCATCAGTGTTGGGAAAAATAGAGTCCAGTTTCTCTCTCTCTCTCTCTCTCTCTCTCTCTGTCTCTCTCTGTCTCTCTCTGTCTCTCTCTGTCTCTCTCTCTCTCTCTCTCTCTCTCTCTGTCTCTCTGTCTCTCTCTCTCTCTCAATCCACTTCCAGCTGGGGCCCAAGGGAGCAACTCAGAGTGGTATCTGCACTCCAGGCTTCTAAGGCTAAGTACTTAGACCCCTTATTACTCAAAGGATGATTTGATGACTCCACCTGATCACCAGGGAGCTTCTAAGAAATTCTTATTTTCAGCTTCTTCCCCAGGCTCACAGATTTACAAATCTGTGTTCCAGAGAGATTCCCCAATGACATCTATGCACACTCGTGTGTGTGTGTGTGTGTGTGTGTGTGTGTGTGCAGGTGTCCATGGAACCTGGAAGAGAGTGTCTCACGCCTGCTGGCTGAAATTACAGGGAGTTATGAGGTACCCAACCTGGGTGCTGGGTCTCTGGAAGAGCAGCAAGGGCTCTTAACAGCTGATCCATCTCTCTAGCACCCACCCTCTTCTTAAAGGGAAGCTTCAGGTAAAGGCATCCCCTTGTCTTGTTACTTTTCTGATCACTGTCACAAGACGCCTGAGGGAAGGGACCTAAGGTGCGAGAGGATTTCTTCTGGATCCTGGTTCCACGGTGGGAAAGACTTGGGCCCCTCATGGTGGTGGGGGCATGTTGTGAAGGCTCCTTGGACCTCAGATGAGCAGAAAACTGTCTTCTGGCTGAAACAGGAAGTGCATGTAGCTTTCAAAGCCCAAGTACAGGGACTGATTACTGTTAGGTAGACCACACTGCCCAAAGGTTATACAACCTCCCAGAACAGTACCACCAGTTGGGGATCAAGGGCCCCAAAATAAGTCTTTGGGGTACAGTGTGGACTCAGAGTACAACACCCCTCCTGATAATGACACAGCTTTTCCTCCAAAGGTGGCTTAACCCACCCTTCCTAACTCCCCAGGCCATAGGGTTTTAGGCAAAGTTGCTGAAAAAGAAATTTTTGAGGAAGGAGCTTCCTTTACAGTTCCTCAAATCATACTAAGGAAAACATTTTAACCCAGTACAATGTGGGCTGAGGAAATAGTCATTTTTTAAAAAGGATTGAGGTTATTAAATAGATGAGGGCTAATCACTGTGTCCAGGGAGACCAGGTTCTTTAACCTTCAATTGCTTTTGCAATTTCAGATAAAAAGCACAATTACCACATCTCGGGGATTCGGTTGTGAAATTCAGTTTTGTTTTTTTCTTTCTTTTTCCTTTCTGATCTTGAGTTGGACACTAAGCATTTCTAGAGAGGGGAGCAAAGGTTTCGGCCAATTTATTATGGAACACAGCATATCTATATATTTTGTAAGATACCATAGTTACATAAAATGTGAACTTTAGGATCTCAAAGTACAAAAGAATCAAGGCAGATCCGCGTCCATGTGATAAAAGCAAGTGTTTATGGGATTGGAGTGATGTCTCAATGGTTAAGAGGACTTGCTGTTCTTTCGGGAGATCTGAGTTCAGTTCCCAAAACACCCATGGGAGTCTACAGTCTAATACCAGGGGATTCAACCCCACTGTCTGGCCTCCCGGGGCATCAGGCATGCGCATGTTACACATACAGATATGCAAGCAAATCCTCAAAAGCATAAAGGAAAAATAAAATCTTAAAAAAAGTGTTCATACAATAGGATCTTGCATTTATAATAGTCTAGTCAGAATGGTGAACATGAATATTTTGCAAGTCTAGACAAGCAATTCCTGTTTTAAAAAGCCAGTATTCTAGTTGTGTGTATTTACTGGACACGGCATGGAAAATCTGATACACATAAACATGTGCCATGTTTATCATGTACCATGTTTATCATGTACTATATTTATCATGTATCATGATCAAACTGAGGTCCAGGGGGATTTGCTGACTGAGACGTGCCTTTTCGTCCAAACCAGTGAAAACTGGGTTTTGAAGCAGTTATTCCATGTACAATCTGTACCTACCATGGCTGCTTGAAACTATGTAACCTGTTTGAGAAATTTGCCTTAAGCATGAAAGATGTTGAAGAAAATCTGAAATGAACGCAAGTATAAATTACACAAAAGAACCAAGAGCAAGGCTTGCTTCCCTCTGAGAAAAGCAGCTATGAACGCCAGAGGTTATCCTTCTTCATTGGACTTCATTGCTTCTTATCTAGGAAAAGAACTCCTCATGGAATCTTCTGGGTTAATGATAATGGCACAAGCCTACATGACACATAGAAGCTGGACTACTCAATACTGGCAAAAGTAAATACCCCATGGGCTGGAGAGATGGCTCAGAGGTTAAGAGCATTGACTGTTCTTCCAAAGGTCCTGAGTTCAATTCCCAGCAACCACATGATGGCTCACAACCATCTGTAATGGGGTCTGGTGCCCTCTTCTGGCCTGCAGGCATACACACAGACAAAATATTGTATATGTAATAAATAAATAAATAAATATAAAAAAAGCTTTTAAAAAAAGTAAATACCCCATCTAAAGCTTGCTTGCATGCTGAGTATTTCTTAAAATGCTTGGGACAAGAAGTGTTCCGGATTTGGTATTTTTCAGATTTTAGATTATGTGTATATGTATAGACTGAGGAATCTTGGGTCTGGGAATCAAGTCTCAACACAATGTCCATTAATGTTTCATATAAACTTCATAAGCCGTTTGGAGGTATTCTCATACGGTGTTCCTCGTTTTGATTGGCATGTCATATGGCATCCATCAGTTGTGGAATGTTCCACCTGCAGCAAGCATCATGTCCAGAAGTTTTGGACATTGGAGCGTTTCATATTTCTAAATTGGTGCGGGGCGGTGATGGTGCAGACCTTTAATCCCAGCACTCGGGAGGCAGAGGCAGGCGGATCTCTGGGAGTTCGAGGCCAGCCTGGTCTACAAGAGCTAGTTCCAGGACAGCCAGGACTACACAGAGAACACCCTGTCTCAAAAAAACAAACAAACAAATTTCTAAATTAGTAATGCTTAATTTGTACTTAATCATGACATGCATTAGGTGGGAATTTGCAGATTGGGATTAAAGGTCTGGAATAAGAATGTGTAAGCTCAGATCCTAGCTAAGCACTGTACTGGCTGTATGTGCAACTGTGGATAAGAGCTTGAACCTCATTATGCTCATCTGTAAAATGGGGTTGGAGGGAGCCATCAACAGTGTTACCAGGTTTTGAACTACAGTAATGACCTCTAGTAATGACCAACTATTCATTGAATAGTTGTACACACAGGAGTATACGCACAGGTTATGAAAACAGTAATAATAAAGAGGACATGAAGTTGGGGAGGTTAGGAATTAGGCGTGGTTTTGGGAGGAGTTAGGAAGAGGAATAAGGGGCTAATGGGATCAAAATATATTATATCTAATATAAGTGTGATAGCACTTGCTTCTAATCCTAGCTACTCAGAAGACTGAGTCAGGAGATCACCAGTTCAAAGCCAGTCTGGGTTACATAGCAAGATCCTGTCTCAAAAACAAAAAAAAAACAAAAAGACAGGCAAACAAAGGTCTTAAGACAAAGCCAGGCAGTAGAGAGCAAGGTTCAGTCTGGGAGCAAAATAAATAAAGTACTAGGAATATATAATACCAGAGTTGCCGTTTTTATTCCCACCTGCCTCTGCCTCCTGAGTGCTGGGATTACAGGCCTGTGGTACCACGTTTGTAAAAGGCCAGGTAGTAAATACTCAAGGCTTTGTAAGCCTTCCGGTATTACCACCCCTCACCTCTGTTGGAATAAACATGGTTGTAGTCACAGAACTGAAATTTAAATTTATAAATTCCAACATTACAAACATTGTTCTACCCATGTTCCCCCCTCCCAATAATCTAAAAATATAAAAAGTATACATCTGTCATGGGGCCGTGGGAAATGAGATGGTGGGGTTGGCCTTCAGACATGTCCGCTGACACTTCGTCAAGAGGCCGTGAGGCAGAGCACATCTGCTGATTCTTGTTGCTCAATCCCAAGCATCTGGAAAGTGGTTTCCAGCTTGTCTTACACCTCAGAAAGATGCATCCAGATCAGACCCAGGACGTGAAGAGCAAGTGACTAGCCTACGTCTGGTTAGGCAATAGAACATGTTTATGACAGCATGTCCCCAGTCCAAATGGGTGCATTGTGAGGTAGGGACTGGTGACCTTCCATTATGTGGCAATCGGCCTTCTCAACCGTTCAGGGAAACTGGCTTAGATTTTTCTGTACTCCAGTTAGGGCGTGTCTAAAAGAAGCCACCGTGTGGGTGTCAAATGGTCTGAAAAACAGACATTTGTGTTTCTAACATTCAGTTCCCCTTTGACAATATTCCTAAGGTCTGGTTTTGTTTCTTTCCTTTTTTAAAAAAATATTTATTATTTAACCCGCATGCCTGCACACACACCCAGGAGAGAGCACCAGATCTTATTATAGATGGTTTTGAGTTACCGTGTGGTTGCTGGGAATTGAACTCTGTAAGAGCAGCCAGTGCTCCTAACCTCTGAGCCATCTCTCCAGCCCTGTTTGTTTTTGATTTTAAAACCTCGAGGGTTAACTAAGTTAATACTCGGAGGAGGCCACATCCCTCGATGGTGCTCGAGTGTTTTCTGATCTGTACATGCATGTTCTTGATTAATAAAAAAGCCAGAGCAGAGGCACACTAGATCAGAGTAGCATCTACCACTCGGTAGACAACCCAGCTTGGCCACGGTCCGGGCTAGCGAGACATCGCCACGGAAACGTGAGCAGAGGCTGGAGAGGAAGGCCAGCCCTGGAACCCCCAAGGAAAGTCACAACGACAGCACTCGCTACTCAAAGACCTGGGCCAGAAAACACCTCGGGCCATTCAATCTTCCGGACTCCCCAAGCCTAGCTCGCTGAGGTCCCGCCCCAGCCCCGCCCCCGCCCGCCCGCGAGCGCGATGGGGTCCCGCCTATGGCCCCGCCCCCACACTCGAGCTCGATGGGGCCCCGCCTCTGACCCCGCCCCTTGTCCCGCCCCAGTCCGCGAGCGAGCCGAGGCACCGTGCTCCCCGGCTCCGCCCCCGCCCGCTAGCTCGCTGAGGCCCCGCCCCCACCCGTGAGCTACCCGAGAACCCCGCCCCCAGCCCGTGTGCTCGCCGCGGCCCCGCCCCCAGCCCGAGAGCTCGCCGAGGCTCCGCCCCCGCTGCCCGCCGCTGCGTGAGTGCCACCGGCGGAGCTGGCCGGGGCGCTGTGCCCTCGCTCCGCTCTCTCCGCCCCCCGCGCGGGCCGCGGGCTGCGCTGGGTCGCGGCGGGCCCCGCAGGCGGCCATGGCGGCGGGCGCCGGGGCCAGGCCGGCGCCGCGCTGGGTGAAGGCGCTGGGTGAGCCGCTCAGCGCGGCGCAGCTGCGGCGGCTGGAGGAGCACCGCTACACGGCGGTCGGGGAGTCGCTGTTCGAGCCGCCGCTGCAGCTTTACTGGACCTGGCTGCTCCAATGGATCCCGCTCTGGATGGCCCCCAACACCATCACCCTCATCGGCCTCGCCATCAACCTGCTCACCACTCTAGTGCTCATCTTCTACTGCCCTACGGTCACGGAGGAGGTAAGGTTGGCCGCCCACCGGGGTGGTTCTCTCGAAACCCTTGGGCCTCCTCCCGAGCCGGCCCCACTCTAGGAGTCGGGGACGAGGGGAGACCCTTTGTTGGCGGAGCACCCTCCGGGTCTCGGAGGGAGGGACCGACACGACCAGACCGCTGTCCCACGGCGGTGTTCGTTTTTTTTTTTTTTTTTTTTTTTTTTTTTTTTTTTGCCTGCCCGGGGCTCCTAGAGACTGTCAGGCCACTACTCCAATCCCGGGACCGTGCCGAGCTTCCCTGGTCCCTGGAGGGGGCTGTCAAGGTCACTGCCCCTTGACGCTGTCCTGTGTCTGCCCACTTCGTCCCTGGGGCCTTGGCCGACTGGAAGGTTGACGTAGGGACCACCAGCCTGTACTTTGTACCCTGGGGATTAAACACCCGCATCTCCATTCTGTCAGGCCTCGTGGGTCGGTTGGGTAAGCCCACGATGCCCTTTGGCACTTCATAATCCTTTGTTTCTCAAAGGTGGTGCCTAGTGATCCCGAAATTACTGATAGCATAACTGAGCAAAGATAAGTTGCTTCTGGATGGTCACTTCCTCTTTGGTTCATTGACTTTCTCATGGAAAAACAAACAGGATGTAGGTGACAGTCCTTACTAAGTTATCCAGACTTAGCGATTATAAAAGCCAACACATTTTATTAGTTGTAAGTATATCTAACCCATGTCTAAAGGAAGAAGAATAAGCAGTGTGGGCCTTGGACAGTGGTGATGAGAAGTGATTCCTTGGGCTGAGTATAGAGAATAAGTAGCACAGTAAAGCGCCTTGATAACACTATATAGGGTACATGTTGCATGCAGATTCTGTGATACCACTTTCTTTAATCTTCCTCCATAATTACATGTAAACATAGGTCGTGCCCAAAAATAAGAGTTGGAGTACAATAACAGTAAACGGAGTACAATAGAAATTGTTCCTGCTCTGCAGCCACAAACATCTTTTTTAAAGGCTTAGTGGAATCTGCAGTTTAAAACATCTCTTTTGTCATCGATTCCTTAGCAGACATTGTATCATTAGTTGTTTTCTTGTGATTTGAAAGCACTAAGCCGTTTGGACTTTGGGGTTCTGATGTTCCCGGAGCCCCCAGAAGCACTGTAGCGATAAAAGGGTGAAGGGCCTGCAAGTGAAGGACTTGGCTTCCCCTCAGCCTCCGCCTGGGGCAGAACTGCCAGATCTGTTTTCCCATGTTGAAAATAGAAATAATGCCAGCCGGGCCAATCTGACAAGGCGTCAGTGACGGCCAGATGATGCATGCAGTTCAAGGTGGGACACTGCACTTTAGAAGTTAAAACTGTCCCTCAACACGTTAAAAACACAGTTGATAGAGTGTCGTGACGCGTGCACGGTAAAATTTAGCTTTGAATTGGGCTCAGGTTTGGCAGACAGCCTTCGGATGTTTGCGGCATCAACTAAGCCATGAACTTTGATGCTATTTACCGTCTGTTTGCTGAGCACTTAGAGAAGGGACAAACAAGTCCCAGGGCTTTTGTTCAGGGTTGAAGGGGGGCCAGTGGATGAGATGAATTTGTGATTAATTTATAGGCTCAGACTCATTTTTTAAAAGAGGATGTGATGGGGTCTGAGGCACGAGAAAATGCACAAAGGGGTAAATGAGAGATAAACAGAGTTTGTAGAGTGTGTGCCGTCGGGTCCTGCCTTTGCTTCTCAGTGGCCAAAGTAAAAGGAGAAACGGTATTGCAGGATCCACAGTGGTTTTTAATTAAGATGCAAATGATAATGTGTTCTAACAATCGTTTCTGGCTATTTTTGCCTTTATAAATGACCCAGCTGGATAAAATTCAGATCCAGGTTTGTCCGACTGTGAAGTGTCCATCCTTCTGGTCGCCTGTGTGGCATGGAGGAAAACAAGTGTGCAAAGGACTTTGGTTGGGGTTTTTACCTTTATCAACTGGAAGAGGCGGTGGAGTTTTTTTCTTCCTAGGGTGGTCCTCCTACTGTCTTGGAATTCCTTCCTGACAGCCTGAAAATAACTGGTGTACATTTTCGTAAGGGAAAATTTAAGTCCACAGAGGTGAATTGGCTGACCTGGCCTGGAAGGTTTGGACTCTTAGACTTGGGCTTTCACAATGTATATGTGCTGTGTGGAGATGAACAGGGGCCTGAGGACGGCAGGCGAGAAAGCTCTGCCCCTGGTGCTGTGTGGAGATGAACCGGGGCCTGAGGACGGCAGGCGAGAAAGCTCTGCCCCTGGTGCTGTGTGGAGACCCCGGGGCCTGAGGACGGCAGGCAAGAAAGCTCTGCCCCGAACAGCATTGTTTTAATTTTACTTTGAATTTTGAGGTAGGGCTCACTTAGCTGATTGGGCTAACCTGGAGGTCAGTAGCCATGCTCTTATTTCTAGAACACGATTGGGCATGAAGGGGAGCTAATTGAAAAGGCTGTGGTTGACAGTAAGTTTCTAGAATGGTACTCCTTTATAGAATGGTACCGTGCAGCCTAGTCTTCCTGGCCTTCCCTGAACTCAAGGGAAACAATTTGCCCTGCCGGGGATATTTCTTCTCTTCCTTCTTCATGTATTAGATTACCTTCCTGTCTTCCAATGCTCAACTTTAACACCCTTTGCCCTAACACCACTTCCCTGTTGCTTGTTTCTTCCTTCTAAGTCAAATCAGCTGCTTAGTCCTCTGAACGCCCACAGTAATGAAAGTGGTAGCAAAGGCGCACAGCCTGCTTACCGCGCACCAGGCAGTATTATAAGCTGCTTTTGTTTGGTTCTCTCGTCGTGACCCGTCAGCACTGTCTCGTGGAGAAGATACAGCTAATGTCTCCACTTCGCAGGTTTGGAATAAAGGAAAATTGTCTCCTAGGATTGTGTAACTGGAAGTGGGAACTAGGATTGCAAACCAGACAGCCGCGCTTCTGCTGCTGCAGGCCTCTAGTGCCAGGACAGAGTCTCCATTTCCTCCTGCTGAGCAGGACAGTCATCAGGTTCAGTTCACGGCAGTGCCTCCTAAGTGAGTGCCATCTCAGAGATGCTGTTCTCAGCGCTCACTGCGGATGGCAGGTAAATGAGGGGAGCCCCTCTCCAACCTTGATGAAGCAGTTACCACTCTCCAGCCCTTGGCTCTTTCTTCCTAAAGTAGAGTCAGCATTTCTTAGAACATAAAAAGGGCCTGGAGCCAACTTAATGCATGCAGTTCCTGAATGTATATGTCTGATAACATGGTGATTCAAAGCTAGTTCTAGCTCCAGCCTCCTACGGTTACCAGAACCAAACACCCTTGCTCCTGACCCCTGAGATGCCAATCTTCAGGAGAATGAGATTGGTAGAAAGGAATCAGATTTATGCACAGCCAGCCCTGAAGGAGCGAGAAGAACTGGTTCCCTGAGGCTCTGTTTTCTCTGTGGGCGAGGAGGATGCAGTGAGGCTGGACTTCAGGCAGTCTGGCTAGCCAGGGCGTGCATGCGTTCTCCAGAAAGAGTTATCAGTTAGCACATAGACGGGGCTTCTGTTAAGCCGGAGGTTTGCAGAAAGAAGTGTAAAAGGGCAGAGGGTGGGGAGCGGAGCCCCAGCTGCAGTAGATTCTCTACTACGAAATACTTCCATGCTTTTATTCATTTATTTTGCTAATATAAGTTGTGGCATAATTCTCTTTTGCTTATTTGCTTTGCTGTTTTCTCCCTGCCTTCTTAACCTGTGCATTTACATCCATGTTAGTGTCTCTGTCAAGGGCACACTTACAGCAGACCGGGACCGAGCTTGAGGCCAGCTTGGAGGTCAGGGTCTAGCATTTCTTTTACTTACAATGTTAGAATGTGACTATGCCTGAGGAAGCCATGAAGGCCTGAAAGAAGTGGCTTGTACCTGGTTTTAAATAACGGGGTGGTAGCTACCTTTGCTGTACTGAGAATTGTAGAGCATTGCAGGGAAGACAGAAAGGAAAAGCTAGAGCCTATATACAGATTCCCACTTGGGTTTCTTTATAAGAGCGTGGTGATGGCACACTCCTTTAATCCCAGCACTCAGGAGGCAGAGGCAGACAGATCTCTGTGAGTTTGAGGCCAGCCTGGTCTACAAGAGCTAGTTCCAGGACAGGCTACACAGCTACTGAGAAACCCTGTCTCAAAAAACCAGAGAGAGAGAGAGAGAGAGGGAGAGAGGGAGTTCAATTCTTTGAGATCTATATTTTCTTTTAATCACCTCTTTTTTTTAAGCAGCTAAATACTTTGTCGAGCATCATTTATTAAGGCAGGAGTCTTGCAATGGTATGGCCTCTCTTATTAAAAGAAAATATTAACTCCCATTTGCCAGAGGTGAGAGTTGAAGAAGCGGGAAGAGCCTGGGAGGAGGCATGTTCTGGCACCTGGAGTGGGCGTTTTCATAAATTCCGCGGCCCGAGGGTCTCCTTGCCTCGCCCTCCTTCCAGCTGTGCCTGGGAGAAGCCTTTCAGGACACAGCTTCCCTTGTGAGCTGTTGCTGTGGCTTCGGTGACTGCGCTCCAGTTCATTTCTAAGGAATAAATGGTGTCTCCTATAAAAGTCAGATGTTAGTAAAACCTTGAAATGGTGACATAGTTGAAGAATTGTAAATCCCTCTCTTGTCTTGTAGGCTACGGTGTAGTCTCTGACCCCTCTCACTTTACGTTAAAGAACAGAGCAGATTATTGGGGCATCTAATACACTTGATCTTGGGAAAGATTTGGGCAGGAGTTGGCCTCATAGTCTCTTCGGTT